CCCTAAACCCTAAGCCCGGAGCCCTAAACCCCAAGGCCTCGGGCAGGGAAGGCGGCAGCAAGGAAGCCAGGGCCGGCGATCCGACGCCTAAGCCACCCAGTGAGGCTGGCGCCTGCTTTCGGCTTTCAGGGTTTAGGGTTTAGGGTTTAGGGTTTAGGGTTCCCAGAGGCTCCAATACCCCTTAATTAAGGAATATACCTTAAATCTCATTAGGGATCCTAGTATAGTTTAAGGTATATTCCTTAATTAAGGGGTATTGGAGTCTCTGGGTTTAGGTCTTGTTTCAAGTGTGGGGGACCTTTAGCTCCAGAAGAGCCGGGTTTCGGGTTCAGGGTCCAGGGTTTAAGGTGTCCTAAACCCTAAACCCTAAACCCTAAACCCTAAACCCTAAACCCTAAACCCTAAGTGTAGGGGCTTGTGCCGAACCTTCTAAGGTGTCCTAAACCCTAAACCCTAAACCCTAAATGTAGGGGCTTGTGCCGAACCTCCGGGGGTTTGGGTTCGGGTTTAAGGATTGAATTTACACCAGCCGCCCTTTGGGGTGAAGCCTGGAAGAGACTTGGGTGTTGCACGCTCCGTCCTGCCGTCGCCTCCCTGGCGACAGAAGATACCAGGAAGATGACGCTTTTCTAGCCGTTTCGAGAGTGCATCGTCGCTTCGGGGAGGTGAGATTGAAGTTGGATCTGTCATTGAGGGCAGGTTTGAGGTGAGATTGAGGTTTAGGACCTTAGGAATTCGGAGTTTGTTGTTGGTTTCAGGGTCGGGGTTCGGGCTTCGAGGTTGTAATGGCCCCCTCGTGAGCCCATGCCGCGTGTCATCTTTTCCCTACACCATACACGGTTAAGCTGTTCAAGCAGCATGTGCAACAATGAACCCAGCACCCTCCAAGCTTGACTTCCCTACTCAGCCCCACAACATCCTAAACCCTAAACCCTAAACCCCTAAACACTACTCAGCCCCACAACATCCAAAAAGGTTAACATCGATCCGTACAGCAGACCGAGCACTTTCCCCCAGCCCCCCTATGGGAGTTTCCGAAAAGAAGGGGTACCTTATTTTGGGTCCTTATAGTAAGGATCCTTCTATTTAGGGTACTATATTAGGGTCCCCTATTTTCGGAAACCCCCATATCCGATCGCGGCCAACAGCCTGCGAGAAAAGGAGCCGGCTGGGAATCACTCTCTTTGCAGACATCTTCCGAGACCAGCCCCCGGACCCGCCTCAATCAACTGACCCGGTGCAGCGGTTCATTTCTCAGATCGTCGTCGATGCTGACAGGGAAAGAACTGGTGTCCTCCTCGTGACAGCATTTCGCTCGCAGTGTCCTTCAATGGAAAGGCGGGGTCACCCGAAGGACTCCGTGTTCACGGACCGAGGCTCTACCCCAGTAGCAACTTCAAACTGAAATGTAGACCGAAGCCGACACCTCTCGGACTTAAAACGAGAAGCTGAGCTCGTCCTGCGAGACATCTTCAGCCGGCACGACGAACTCAGCAGATGTGTCCACAAAACTGAAAACTGAGACTCAGCTGCTTGCTATGAGAGCGGACAGAAGACCTGCAACTGGTCCGAAGCTCACGGCCACTGCGCTACTTGTGGTGACACCTGCTGCCGTCGTGGTCGTAGGCTCAGGCCCACATGGGCAATACCCTGTGGAGCAGTCACCCGTGAGCTCGTTTGTGGGCTTCTCGTAGTTGGCCATGGTGCTGGATCCAACTGGGAAGTGGCTGTTGGGATAGCACTGGTCAACCATCCCGTTCTTGAGGCAGACGTCGTAGTACTCCTTGGTCTGCATGAACTCGGCAAGGCATCCATTGATAAGGCCTGGCACCATAGAGCCCGGCTTCGTCATCGCCAAAGTGGTACCGTTGAGAGCATAGCCCTTCTGGCCCGTTTGGACATACGCGTACTCCGTGCCAAACCCATCCCAAAGGCTGCAATTGAACGTCACCGTAGCGTCACCCACTGCAGAGCACTGGTAGAGCGCCGCCTGGTCCGCGTAGATGAACACGGCGTCCCCGGTGCCGTTGCGCAGCATGTTCATTGCATCATCGTTCTCTGGGCCGACGACAATGATAATGCTGTCCGAGTACGGCATGTTCGAGCACTTGTTGGTCACATAGCCAATACCGTCGGCGGTGGGTGCCCAACCACCGACATCAATCACCGTCTTCCCTGCGAGATCGTCCCAGCCGCTGACTGACGGCACACCATTCGTCAACAGGGTCATCAGGCCCGCCGGCTTGTTGTCATCGAGGATGGCGATGGACCAGTCTGCATTCGTGTCACGTGATCCACGTCCATGGCTGTAAGTCATGCATGCATCCAGTGTGCCATCGACGAGCTTGGGTCCAAGCTGGCCATCGGAAGTCCAGCAGTCGAGCCAATTGGTCTGCACGGATTCAATGGTCAAGTTGTCACACAGAGCCGTCATGCCATCTGCGATGTCCTTGCCCAAGCCCATGAGCTCCATGGTCGTCGCGTTCTGCCAGGCATAGGGCTTCCAATCGATGTCCATGCCGAACTTGAAAGTCCATCCATGGGCTGCCCCAGCGAGGCTGGCGAAGCTGATGCCGCGCAGGAGGGACCTGGGCTTCTTTTGTGTTTAGGGTTCAGGGTTTTGGGTTTTGGGTTTTGGGTTTAGGGTTTAGGGTTTAGGGTTTAGGGTTTAGGGGTTCTCAGCGGCTTCGCTCGTGTCTTTGATGGGTTTTTTGTTGGTCTGAGGCTCCCCAGGCACTACCTGTAACTAGGTAGTTGTCAAAATTATGGTCCCTTTTGGGTACCCTAAATATTAGGTGCCGTATTATTATAAGGACCCAAAAAGGGACCCTAATTTTGACAACCACCCAACTGCCTGCAGCAGAATTGCATGGTCAAGTGCCGGGAGAATCGCTGCGGGCCGAGGATAGAAGCTGCTAAGCCGAATGCTGGCAGAGCGCCATGGGGGCTTCTGCATGGGGGATAATGTTTTAGGGCTTCAGGGTTTTAGGGTTTTAGGGTTTTAGGGTTTAGGGTTTAGGGTTTAGGGAATCCGATTCCCTAAACCCTAAACCCTAAACCCTCGTGGGGGCTTTTCGGGCTCCTTCAAGCTGCACTTCGACAGGACCCCTCCCTGAAAGGGCGCGGCGCCTCCGACGGAAAAGGCGGGGGCTGGCGAGCCTGACAGGAAGGCTTCGGGTTGAAGGAGAAGGAGGGGCTGCCAAGGAGGGCAGCTTGTGAGGTGAGGTTTAGGGTTTGGGGTTTGGGGTTTGGGGTTTAGGGTTTAGGGTTTAGGGTTTAGGGTTTAGGGTTTAGGGTTTAGGGTTTAGGGTTTGAGGTTGAGGAATTTTATCTAGGGGATGCCAACCACGGAAACCCAAACCTTGAACCCAAAATCTCTGAAACCTCTGGTAAACACCCACAGATAAGTCCCAAGAGAAAACACGCATAACCCCCCCTTCTGGTGGGCACCCGGGCGTCCTGCCGGCCCTGCCCATTCGAAGCCATCCTCCAGAGGGTTTAGGGTTTAGGCTTAGGGTTTAGGGTTTAGGGTTTAGGGTTTAGGGTTTAGGGTTTGGGGTTTAGTGGTTTAGCGTTTAGGGTTTAGGGTGTAGGGTTTAGGGTTTTGTGGTTCAGGGTTTAGGGTTTAGGGTTAAACCCTAAACCCTAGCTTGGTGCCGTCTTGGAGCTTTAGAGCCTTCGGAGCTTGGTGTAAGGATTGTAGGGTCTAGGGTTCAGGGTTTAGGGTTTAGGGTTTAGGGTTTAGGGGGATCCAAAAAGTAGATCCCTTAATGGGGGGTTCCTATAAAGAACCCTTAGTAGTATAGAATTCCAAATTAGGGGTTCTACTTTCTAGATCCTCCCGGGGGTCTGGGAAGTGTAGTAACTTCAGGTTTTGCAGTTTGGGGTTGTTCGGCCTCCAACAGAAGTCGGGTTTCAGGGTTACGGCTTCACCGTTTCGGGCTTTAGGGCTTTGCGCTTCTTGAGTTCGGGGCTTCAGAAACCCAACCCTAAACCCTACACCATTGAGGGCTTGCAGATTTGGCAGAATGCGGGCTACCGAGACTAGCTGCTTGCTGGTATCTTATAGCTCTGAAGATGGGGGGTTTAGGGTTTAGGCCCCAAACCCGGAATAGTTACTGTTCAGGACTCTTTGGTAGGTCGTAGAGAGACCCAATCTCTGCACCCTGAGCCTAAAGAAGCCATTCCCCAGAAAACCGGAATCAACCCCCACATACCAGAAGTACTAGAAACCCCAGATAAACCCCTTAAATCCCTGCAATTGCCTAGAAAACACCTGTGAAACCCTTATGGAATCCTATTAACCCCCAACCCCTAAACCCCTAACCTTAATCTCCTCATACCTCATCCTCCAAAACCTTGAAACTTAAACCTAAACTACAATATGAGGGGAACCCTAAACCCTAAACCCCTAAACCCTAAACCCTAAACCCTAAACCCTAAACCCTAAACCCTAAACCCTAAACCCTAAACTCCCATCTTCGGCACAGAACCCCGGCTGAGAGATAGGCGGAAGTCAAGGAGTCGCTGAGTCTTCGGATGCTTTCATAGCTTGTTAGGCCCCTATATTGGGCTCCTGGGATAGAAAACTGTGGTGATCTTAAACTCATAAGAAGAGAACCCCATGCAGTTTAGGGTTTAGGGTTTAGGGTTTAGGGTTTAGGGCCGCCTCAGCCTCGTCCCTAGAAAGAGCTGAAAGACTGTACTAAACCCAAAATCCAAAGCCGTAAACCTTGAACCCCACCCCAACTACTAAACCCTAAACACTAATTACTAAGCCCTGAACACGATTTACTAAACCCTCAACACGAATTACTCAACCGTAAAACCTAACCCTAGACCGTAATAGGATCGGGGCCCACATTTTTGGGTCCTGGTAGAAATAGGTCACGTCTCAAGCTCGCTTGCACCCGAAGCCCAATGTAGGCAATACACCGAAGGTTTAAGCTTTAGGTTTCCTTTAAGGGGTCCTTTAACTGTTGTAGAGTTCCTTCAAAGGGAAGGTGGCCTTCATGAGGGTCTTTTTTGGTTCGGGGTTCAGGGATTTAAGGCGTAAGGTCCTTAAATGTTCATTGTCAGAGGGTAAACCCCGAACTCTCAAACTGCCTGGCCGGTGGCTCCACCCCGGCCTCAACGAAAGCCAGGCAGCTAGGCTGTCGCATTCAGTCAAGGGTTTAGCTTTTAGGGTTTGGGGGATGGAGCGGATCAGAATGATTCACGATTTTGCTAGCATTCGGGGTGGTATCATTCGAGGGTCCTCATAGCCCATATCGTGTTCAACATGACCGCAATACTTATTTTCTTGAAGCCAACAACACTACGTCGTTCAAGTGCTCACCGTTCAATGCTCATGTGCACGATCTCACGATTACCCTGTTGGGTTGCCTTCGGCAAACGAACATCATTACGATAGCTCTACTCGTTCCTATCCCCATGGCGATTGCTGGCATGCCACCGTACTGCAGAGAAAAGGATTCAACCCCGAACTCCACACCCAAACTGGTCTGAAAGGCACCGGAAGCTCCCAAACCATAAACCCCAAAGCCCCGAACCCAGCAGAAACTGCTCCAAAAAGCCTGGAGCACAGAATCCACCGGCCTCCTTTGCACAGTTTTGCTCGCATTGCTGAAAGTACCTTGTGGGAGGTCGGGTGCTGCCTCGGGGTCTCTTGTCGAATAAGTAGGCTTCAGGGTTTAGGGTTTAGGGTTTAGGGGACTAGAGCAACAGATGTCTATAACGTTTATATATGCAAAGCAAAATGCAGTGTATATGGGGATACTACCCGAAACCCGAAACCCCAGACCCTAACCCTAAACCGTCTCGTACAATTATATATAGAACTCTATGAGCCCATGACAGCCTATGTCGAAATCTGTAAAGACAGCTCATCTCGGGCTTAAGGCTTAGGGTTTAGGTTTTTTTAAAAGTGCAAGAGCCCCCCTTTCCGCCGCATGAGACTTACCCAGAAACTGAGCGCGCACTAGAAAAGGATGTGCTTGGCTCGTATCAAACACTGCCGGTACAAAAACAGCTTTCAACACGGAAGTGCCGCAATCACCTGAAGACGTAAGGATGTCGGGTTTCGGGTGTGGGCTTACGGCTTAGGGCTGAGGGTATTTGTTTAAGGGTTTCAGTGCTGGGACTTTGGGGGCACAGGTTGAACTGAACATGAGTTTCTTTGCAAGCTCCATATCCGCGTCGCTAGCACCGGCATTCATAAAGATAGCGATGATGATGATGATGATGATGAGGAGGAGGACGACGACGACGACCGGCGACGACGACGATGATGATGATGATGAAAAACCACAACCATAATCATAGTATTACTACAAGTACTGCTACGACCACTACTATGCCACCACTACTAATCACACGACCACTACCACTACCGCTACCACTACCACTACCACGGCCACTGCCACTACCACTACCACTACGACTACGACTACTATTGCTGCTGCTGCGATGACGACGACGACGACGACGACGACTACTACTACTATCACTTCCATTACCAGTACTTGTATTGTTATTGCTTTTATTATTGTTGTTGCTGCTGTATGTTTGTTCTTGTTCTTACTATTGTTTTTATTGTGATTGTCATTGTAAGTGTTATTGTTATGGTGAATATTTTTGTTCTTGTTATAGGTAGTATTGTTATGACTTTGGGTATGATGATGATGATGATGATTATTACTAGCAGGAGCGGGTGTAGCACTAGCAGCAGCAGCAGCAGCAGCAGCCGCAGCAGCAGCAGCAGCAGCAGCAGCAGCAAAATCTGCAAGTAGGAATAGAACAAAGGTAGTAAGACGAGATGACATAGATTTGCACCCCCAGCCCGCGACTTAAACCCCAAACCCTCAACCTTATGAGGCCCCGACTCAATGCACTCCCGGTAGTACTTCAGCCATTCGGCATACTGCCTGGCAGGACGAAGCCCGTTGTAGTGCAATTAGACCGGCGGCTATGCTATATTATAGTATAAGCACACAAAAGGACTAAAAGGGAATAGTGATGAATAGTGTTTCTTAATAGCCAGGCCTCCAGGGCCTTCAGAGTAAAGAGGGACGGGTTCGGCCACATATCTTGCAATGTCCGGGGATGCAAAGGCGAGCCTCGCAAGCCGAGAAAGCCGAACTGAAAAAAACAATACTGATCATGATAACGGTTATAATAATCGTAATAATACTTACAAGAATGACAATAGTAAAAAAATATATACTATACTACACTCATCCGCGGAACCCCTAAATGGGCGTGCGTGAGCCTTATGGCTTCATGCTTCGGTTGGCGAGGCACCCGCTCTCACCACCCACACCCGCCCACAGCGCGATCCGAGTCCCTCAGCACCCACACCCGCCCACCGCGCCTCTTTCCGCCCCCTTGAAGCACCCGCCCACAACTCCCCTAGTGGAGGCCCTGGTTTTGCACCTACTTCTAGAGGGGAAGTCAGCTTCTTTCGGCCACATTGATGCACCCTACAGGAGGCCTTCGCTGTGTGTGTACTCAGCTGTGCGCACATCGCCACCGAAGGCCCGGGCTTTGTGTTTTTGGAAAGTCTACTATAGGAGCCTACATAATTACC